GAAACATTGATGCAAGAGAGAAACGTCAATTGGTTGCCTCTTTTATGTGCCCTGACTGGGAACCACACCTGCAACCTAGGTTTGTGCCCTGACTGGGAATTGAACCTGTGTTACCTTTTGGTGTACCGGATGTCACTCCAACCAAGCAATACTGGCCAGGGCAGAAAATACTTTAATATTCTTATGCGGCCCTGGCTGGTGTGGCTCAGTAGATTGAGCGCCAGCCTGTGAACCAAAAGGTCACTGTTTTGATTCCTAGTTAGGGCACATGCCTGGGTTGCAGGCCAGGTACCCAGTTGGGGGCATGTGAGAGGCGACAGATGTTTCTCTCCCTCTCTCCCTCTCTAAAAAATAAATAAAATCTTTTAAAAAATATTCTTATGCAAATTGCTGATCCCTTAGTAAATTGAAACTCCTTATTTATGAACCTCTCAGTTTCGAGACTGCTTACAGCCACACATAAAATCCAAATGGGAATAAGTTCTTTTCCTGCTATAGTTTGCATTTTATTTATACCTGACCTAACACACAGAGAACACTACACCCAACAATGGCAGAACACACATGGCTTTCAAGTGCACAGGAAACAATGGCCAGAATAGGTCATGTTCTGTATCATAATGCAATTCTAAATATGGGTCATTTATCTTATGTTCTCTGACTACAGTGGAACCAAACTGGAAATCAATCACAGGAAGACAACAAAAATTCCCAAATATTTGGGGATCAAGAAACACTTTTATGGAAACATATGGTAAGAAATAAACCATATGGAAATTAGGAAATACTTGGAACTGAATAATATTGCAACTGTAATAAAACAAAATTTGAGGATCCTGCTAAAACAGAATTGAGGGGAAAATTTATAGTCCATACATAGCTTGGAAAAGAAGAAAGGTTTTAAAATCAATGGTCTAAATTTTCATCTCAAAAAACTAGAAAGTAAAAAGCAAATTCAGCCCAAAAAGAGAAATAAAAATAACGAGACCAAAAATGAAGCAGAGAACAAATGAAATACAATCAGTTCTTTGATGAAGCCGTAGCAAAACTTTTTTTCTTTTTAAGAGAGACAACACAAGACCAGTACCAGGAATGAACAGGTCCTGCAGAAATTCTAGAGACAGTAAAAGGGGTGTGCACTCTGAATACAGACAGACTGTTGAGGAAGACCATGACCTTAGCTGGTTAAAAATAAACACTAGAAAAAGGACACGTTCATTATAGAAATCATATATAGGTGCAGCCACTGTGGAAAACTGGAAGGTCCTCAAAAAATGTAAAATAGAACCACCATGACTCAGCAATTCCACTTCTGGGTGCATATCCTAAGGAAATGAAATCACGATCTTAAATATCTGCACCCCCATGTTCACTGGAGCATTATTAACAATAATAAGGATACAGAGACAAACTGTCATAGAGAAATAAAGGGAAGATGGTATATATTTTGCATACATACAGTCGCAAATGTGTGTGCGCGCGCACATATATACACAAAAAAATATTACTCACGTTTTTTAAAAAGAAATCCTGCTGTTTCCAACAACCTGGATGAACCTGAAGGACTTAGGCTAAGTGAGGTAAGCCAGACACAGACAGATACTTTACGACCTCACAAGTGGAATCTAAAACTACAGTTGAACTTACAAAACCAGAGAAAAGAATGGTGGTCACGGGGGTGGGGTGGGGTGAAGGCAACAGGGAGATACTGGTCAAAGCGCAAAACTTCCAGTTATAAGAGTAAGTATGGGGATCTAATATATAGCATGGTGACCACAGTTAATACTATGTTGAGTACTTGACAGCTGCTAGGCAGACAGATCTTGCGTTCTCACGCACAAAGGGTAACAGATGACGGATGTGTGAATTACATTGACTGTGGTAATCATTTCACAATGTATATGGATACTAGATCATCATTTTATATACCCTAAATTTTTAAAAGTCACATGTAATGGTAAATATATCAGAGATGATGTTAAGAAATCTACAGGGACTGAATTCCAGGGAGAAGAGCCCCTCCCAGGTGAGCAGAGGCTGGCGAGCATCCCCGCAGCAGCACTGAGCTGGGCTTGGCGGGTGGCTGGGCTTGCTGAGAGCAGGACATTATCCGGGAGAACAGCCACCTAAGAGGCTGGTACCCATGTGGGCCCGCAGGATGGACCGGAACCTGGAGGAGCTCAAAAACCTTGACGAGATTCCCCCCCATGGGCCTGTACTTGGTGCCTGGGTGGTGAGGCTGGGGTGGAAGTGAAAGGTGGAGGGAAATCCGCAGCCTATCGTGGAACCCAGAGTTCTGCTAGAATATGGGGCTGGCAAGAAAAGGCAGGTCAAGACAAAAACCTCAAGACATCGGAACTAGGGATGAATGAAACCAACATAAGAGACCAGCCCTTCACCCAAGCTGTCTGGTAAAGGATGAAGTGCACGCTTTCTGGAGAGAAATATGCCTGGCTTATCACTCTTATACACACAGTGTCTGCAATGCAATAAAAATTATGAAACATTGAAGGAGGAAATGCTACCCATAAACAAGAGGGGGAAATCACCAACAGAAATGGATATACGTGAGACCCGGCTGTTGAAATCAGATGGCAAAGACAATAAAGTTACTGCTGTAAATCTGTTAGAGAATACAGGGGGAAATGGAAACCACGGAACTAAAAATATCTGAAAAGAATTTATTGGCTTAAGAGCAGACAAAACACACAAGAGAGAGCATTAGTATAGATGCTCCTTGACTTACGATGGGACTACACCCAATAAACCCATCGTAAATTGAAAATACTGTAAGTTGAAAATGCATCCAATGTGCCTCACCTACCAAAAATCACAGCTTAGCCCGGCCCACCATAAACATGTTCAGAACACCTGCTGCCCAGCCCAGCATCACAGGAAAGGACACACTGCATGTTGCTGGCCATGAACAGATCAAAATCCAAAGCACTGAACGAGTATCACTTTTGCACCACCATAAAGTTGAAAAATTGTAAGTCAACCCGTCGTTAGGTTGGGGACTCTCCGATACCCAAATATAGTCTAGTCAAAATAATCCCGCACCCCCCCCCAAATAAACCAGAACAGAGTATCAGAGACCTGCAGGATCATGTAAGATAGACCTACATACAGGTAACTGGAGTATTAAAGAAAAAAAAATGGGCCAAAAAAGAAAATATTGGAAATGATAAAAGAAAAATTTGCAAAATTGATGGAAGATATCAACCCAAAAGATCTAAGAAGTTCAGCAAATATCCCGCAGGGTATAGAAAAAGGAAACCACACATCGTCATCAAATAACAAAGAAAGAAAATTCTTAAAAGCAGCCAGACAAAAGGGTACCTTATTTTGAAGGGAACAATGCTGACAACTGCTCTCATCAGGGAAGTCTTTTGAGTGTCCTTGCTTCATGTGTCAGTTGTGAAAAGCCTGATGACAAATTCTCTTGCCTTGGTAAATTGTTGCCTTGCCCACAGGCCCTGAGGCTTATCTTTAAAACCACCGTTTGATTAGGCTATATCATATATTAATAGTTTTCTAATGCTCCCCTGAGTACCTTCACCTCCAAGACTCAGGCCTTCTTCTCTACCTGTTTGGAATGTTTCCTTGAACAAGTTTTAAACACTAGGTCTGATTTTCCTCAAGGACTCAAATGGCTTCTTCCTCCTCTGCCTGCTGGACACCACCCCCTTCCTGACGCCTCATCCTTCAGGGTCAGTCTCTCTTCATCTCCTTGTTCCCCAGTTTCCGAAGCCCTTCCTCAAACCTGCGTCTTGGCACCTTGTATTTTATTCATTTCTAAAATACTTTCTCACATCTCCTTCTGAGTTCAAGCCATTGTTTCCTGTTTTTTCTTGCTCATTTCTGCCCTTAGTTTATGAATTTCTGATCCAAGATGTTCTTCACACTTTCAAGTGCTGTTGGGGGCAAGTTTGGCCATTCTGGGCTTTGAGGTTTCTACCTGGGGAAGTGGGTTTCCCATCCACGGGTGGGAGGACCATGTGCTGGATTCACTATAAATTCCCCCTGTCTCTGGCCACCTGGCCGGCCAGCCCTCCTGCCCATGCCCCCACACGGGCTGGCAGAGGGGCTGGAGCGGGCAGAAGGCCAAGATACCGCAAGGGGAAGTGTGAGCAGGGTGTTGTGCACACTTGGTCTAGTTTCTGGTGGTTCTGTGTGTTTTGGGTAGAAAATGTTATAAGGGTCTGTTTGAAGGCTGCCATTGTCTTCAAAGACCTGGAAATCCCATTAAACTTTTTTCAGGAATGCTGCCTTTAGCCCTGCCCTGGTAGGTAGCTCAGTTGGTTAGGGCACTGAGTTGTGGGTTTGATCCCTGTTCAGCGCACAAAAATCAACTAGTCAATGAATGAATGCATCAATAAGTGGAAATAAATCAATCTCTCTCTCTACAATCAAGAAAAAAAAGAGAATGCTGGCCTTTATCATTGCCACACTGGCTACTATCTGAGTCTGCCTGGGTGGCCCTAACAGAATAGCACAGGCTGGGGCGCTCTATCCACAGACATTTCTCACAATGGCAGAGGCTCTCAGCCTGAGATCAAGGTGCCAGCAGGGCTATTCCTGATGAGTCTTCTTCCTGGCTACCTTCTCACTGTGTCCTCCTGCTGTGGAGGGCCAGCCCTGGTCTCTTCCTCTCCTGACAAGGACAACAATCCTATCGTGAGTGTCCCACCCTTTGACATCATCTAACCTCCCAAAGGCCCCACCTCCTAACTCTCCCCTGGGGGGAGCTGGCTGTCAACTTCCAAACGTGGGAAGACACATTCAGTCCACAGCACCAAGGAGACCAGTTGTCCTGCCTGCACTCAAGACTCACCAACAGCAGCTACCTTGTTTCTCCTGGAAAGCCAGCCATTTTAGTGCTTCATTCTACACGTGTAGCATCGGTGAGGCACCTATCCTGCAGTTTTGAGTATTTGTCACTTCTCCTATTCTCATCATTCAGTTGAGTGGTTTTTTTACCTACACCCCAAGAGCACAACCAAACCCAACTCTTACTTTAGTTCTGTTAATTTGTTTCTGACCATCCATTCCTCCTGCCAATCTAGCTCCAGGTTTGTCACCATCTCCTAGCCTGTCCCTTCCTAGGGACATGGGAATCTGCGTTGCTGCCAGTTTCATCCAAGCTTCTCATAAAGATTGAACGTTATACTCAGAACTGGTTTCATTTTCCTTTATTTTTTAAAAAAAGCCCCTAAGTTCTATGGCTTCCAGGAAGCATCAGAGAAACGGAAGTGCCATTTCTGTACACTTTGTAAAGCAACACCTAGATGCACACGCCGCTGCCAACGCCCCAGCGGCTCTGGCTGCCCGCACGTGGCTGCCTGGCCTCTGCCGCACCTGTGGGCTGAGACGGGGCTTTAAGGCGCTTGTCTCCTGTGGCTCAGTGGCACCGAGTGTGGACACCAGAAGCCCCAACACCGGGCAGAGCCCTGGCCAAGTGGCCACAGGAACGGCCGCCCCAGGCTCCAGGAGCAGGCACAGCAAGAACACCTGTGGGCCGTGCCGTCCAAGCTTTGGTGCAGCATTTTGGTTGGGGTGCCGCCCCCACCCCGTCTTCCCCTTTGACTGGGGAGGCCTAGGGCAGGTTCACCCCTGGCAGCAATGCCCCACAGCTCCCCCTCGAGAAAATGGCCTTTGGATAGAGGGAGACAAGCTGGACTTTATGACACTAACAGGGCTGGTGGGCTGGACAGCACGGGTGGCCGGCGCCTCCAGGTCACACTACTCACTTCAGCAGACATGGCAGAAGGGGCGCGGGAGGGCGGCCGCTGTGTTTTCTTTTCCTTGTTTTAAATAGTTAATGCTCTTGGAAGGGAGGACTAGACACAGGTGTAGAAATTTCGGCCAAAGTCTTATGTGAAGGAAGTAACCCACGTGGGGGCGGGCAGCTCGGGGCCACAGTCCCTGTCCTGGCTGTGGGTTACCCAGACAAGCTCCCCCAAGGACTGCAGCAGAAGGGTGTGGGGTGCCACTGCCAGGGATCACTTGTGTCTCTGCAGTGATTTCCTCTTTCTTCTCTTGAAGAAACAGCAGCACCTGGAGCAAGGAAGCGAGGGCGTAAAAAGTGGGCATGGGTCAGGGAGGGACAAGTCGGGCATGGGGTACCAGCTGGGCCTAAGCCTTCTCCACCCCCAGATGCTGCCCTGGGTCTTACTTGGTGTCGTCCGCCACCTCTACCTCTGCGGGCGCCGTGATGGGGGCATTGGAGTGACCGGCGGTGGGGTCATCTGCATTCAGCTCCCCGTTGGTAGAGTTCAGCGCCTGGGTGGGTGGGTAGCAGGAGGGTCACATGGGCCGTGATCCGCACGTCCCCCAAGGGTTGTTGGCGTTCTTGGCCTGGCACCTCACCTGGTTTTTGCTGTACAGCTGGGCTTTGTCCCTAGGCTGAGTTTGCGCAGGCAGGTCAGAGTGGACTGTGCCGATGGGCGTCGGCTGCAGGGTGGACAGGACAGGGTGCTGAAGCCCGGCATCACTGTACCCCACGAACCAGGGTTTCACCTGAATCTGCACCAAGGCTCCAGGTACTTGGGTCCTCCTCCACATCCAGGCACAGCCACCAGGTTCAGGGTCCCACCTCGCCTCTCCCCATGTCCAGGCCCCATACCTTGACATCCGGGGTAAAGGCCACACAACTGGGGTCCCACCTCCCCATGCCTAGGGGCTGCCCGCATCCCAGGGAGAGCCCTCCACTTCCCGACTTCTTAACTGCATCCAGGGTTACAGTCTCCCGTGCCCAGGACCCGCTCCACACTCAGGCCCTGCCCCCACGTACCAGGGGCTTCCCCGCCCAGTCGTATTCGTAGTCAAACACGAAGCCGCTGCGGTCAAAGAGGTCGGTGAAGAGCTTACGCAAGTAGTCGTAGTCGGGCTTCTCAAAAAAGTCCAGGCGCCGCACGTAGCGCAGGTATGTGGCCATCTCCTCTGAGAAGAGCCAGTAGGCAGGGCTGGGGGTGCATGTGGGAGGGGGACACGCAGGGGAGGGGACTGGGGGGGACGGGGAGCAGAGGCCTTGAGGGCAGGGAGCACTGGCTGAGGGCTGCCCTCACCTGGGAAGCTCTCGCAAAGCACCTCTATGGGCGTGGCCCGTTTGGTGTCCCCAATTTTCTGGTAGCGCTCCTTGAGTGTGTCCGCCTGTGGGGAGGGCGGTCAGTGCCATCACCGGGAGGCATGGCGCTCCCGCCCCGCGACCCCCGTGCCTTGGCCCACCTTGAGCCCCTGCCAGGGCAGGCTGCCACGCAGGAAGTACATGAACATGTGGCCCAGCGCCTCCAGATCGTCACGGCGGCTCTGCTCTGCGGGGCAACAGCAGGTCAGCACGCTCTCCCCACCCCTCCGACTCCCGCCCGTGTGCCACTTACCCTTTCCTAGGTGTGTGTTGATGCTCATGTAGCGCGCCGTGCCCGTCAGGCTTTTGTGCTCGCGGTATGGGATGTGCTTCTTGGTCTCGGGGTCGATGTACTCCTTGGCCAGGCCAAAGTCAATGATGTGGATGGCATGCTGCCGCTTGCTGCCTGGCCGCCCCACCAGGAAGTTCTCCGGCTTCACATCGCGGTAGATGAGGCTCTTGGTGTGCACATACTCCATGCGGGTGATCTGGGGGTGGGTGGGCCAATGTCCCCATCTGCCCAGGCCCTGCACGGCCCCTCCCTCACCCCCTCCCAGCCACAGCCCCATCCTGCCTCACAGCCAGGAGTCCCACAGCCCAGACCCGCACCAGCTGGATGGCGATCATGAGCACAGTCTTGAGCGTGAACGTGCGGTCGCACAGGTCGAACAGGTCCTCCAGGCTGGGCCCAAGCAGCTCCAGCACCATGGCGTTGTACTTCCCACACGGGCCAAAGTAGTAGACCTGAGGGACACCCTCTGTGGGCAGAGCATGCACAGATGCCTACAGGGGCCTGCAGCAGGCACCCGCTGCCCCCGACTGAGCTCTGCACCTGACCCCCACTGCCCTACTGCCCCTATCTGGGTACCTGCGGTGCTGAGCTGCTTGTAGAAACGGTACTCTAGGTGCAGCTGTGGTGCCCGGGACTTGATGGGCTCCTGAGGTGACAAGGAGGATCAGGTGAAGGGTTACCTGGGGCATAACGTGTCCCCACCTCCTGCCCCAGACCCCACTTAGATGAGCTCCATGTGGGGACAGACTGCCGTTGGGGGGGAAGAACCTGGACTCACCAATTTGATAGCTACATATTCATTTGTATAGAGATTCTTTCCTGTGAAGGAGAGAGGAATCAGCACAGCAGCGCCACCTGGCCCCCAATTTCCACCCCGCGCAGCAGGCAAGAGATCCTACACGCCCTACCCACCTCCAAGGGGCACCTGCTATTCCCCAGCAGTCCCCCCCCCCCCCCCCGAACTTGGCCCTGTCATCCCAGGTCCTGGGAGTGAAAAGGATACCTGCAAGATACTTGCACCCCTTTAAGTCCCCATCTGTGGAGCAGAGGGTCTGCTCCACACCCTCACATCCTGGGATCTCCGTCTCACTGCTGCCCTCTCCTCCGCAGCCTCCACCCACCACCCTCTATGTACTCTAGACCTCAGCGCCCACCAGCCCCACCAGCTCACCAAGTAATTCCTCCTAGCCCCGCCTCCGCCCATTCAAGCAGCTACCCCCAACTCCTTGGCAGGAACCTCCCCAATAAGTGCACCAACATGCTCCAATTCTCCCATTAAAAATGGAACAAAGACCCCATCACCCATGGCCCTTCTCAGCACCCACTGCAGCAAAAGGAACCGAAGACATCCATATCCCCTAAGTATTCCCCCCTTCCCTCATGACTCCATCCCCAGGACCCCCACGGGTACAGTTCACTCAATGCCTCCCCACGGGACCTGAAGACAGAAGGTGACATATAGCCCGGACCGGCCCATGCCCCCCTCCTCCGGGGCCTATGCAGTGGATCCCTCCCACCAGTGGCCCTCACCTTGCCTCCCCTCCCCTGGTTCATCCCAGCACCTTACTCCCCCATCCTTCCCATGATTATGCAGTACGGACCTCTGGCTAGACCACCACCCCCACCCCATAAGGTTTGTCACGACCTGCAGAGGACTCACCCCAGGTGCCCTGAGCCCTCCTCCTGCACCCCTACCCCGGTGCTGATATCCCCACCTCCGCGTCAGCTATGTCAGGTGACCCTGCCCACAGTGCCGGCAGGCAGGAGAGCCCAGGCTGGCTTCCCCAGGCCACAGAACCCAGCAGACCAGGAAAGGAGACCTGTACCCTTCTCAGGTTAAAATAAGGCCACCAGAGGCAGGTCTTGCTGGTCCCACCCATCAGCATCTCCAGGTGCCCACAGAGAAAGAGCTAATGTGCCCAACCTCACAGAACTGCACAAACATGACTTCCATGAGAACCTGATGGAGTCGTTTTTCACCCGTTAGGGTCTCTAATGCTAACAGAGCCCTAGATGGTCCAGCCACCACTGCTGGGTGACCTGCCACACCACTGCTGCGTGTGCCTTAGCCAGTTACTGTGCAGTGCTGTGTACCACCTGCATCACCATCTCTGGCCAAACGGCCCCTCTCAGCATCAGCCTGTCCTGACTTTGTCCTGGGACCACCATCGCTGGGTCCTGTACACCGCGAACATGGCCCCCACACCATGTGTCTGCACCACCTGGCCTTACCTTACTCTCTGCCTGCTGCTGCAGGACAGTCTGGGTGACACCGGCGCACTAGCTATTTCTGCCCCACCCACATGGCAGCCGACACCAGTGTTCAACCCCAGAGGCCGAGGCCAGGGTTCCCCACTGCATTAATCTGCTCTACCGGCCACAGTCCCTGCCCCATCCTGGTGTGTGCAGAGGTGTCCCCATCACCGGGGCACCCAGCAGTGGGTATGAGTCTCCCACTCTGCTGTGGCTATTCCAGGGCCTTGGTTTCCACGGCGGTTCACAGTCAGCTTACTGACTTTCTCAGAGCCCTGCAGTGTCCTGGAATCTGCGGCAGAACTGATGGTGGCAACATCTCATACCGGTCTCATCCACGCCGGGAATGAACTTCTCCCAGCGATGTTCTGTGGCTCTCAGAGAGCTTGTCCAGCCTCTGTTAGGTTTACTCTGGAGACACTTGATGAATTCTGGAACTCTTTATGATTAGCATTGTTTTTAAACCTTTATTGTCCAATTGTTGCTCAGATAGAGAAATACAGCTGGCCTCTGTGCTAGTACGACCTGCAGCCTTGTAAACTTATCCCCCTCTACTTGCTTACTGAGATTACTCTTGCTGCCACACAGTGTGATTGGCAACTAGTCAGTTGTATTTCTTCTTTCCCAATCTCTTTACCCTTCATTTCCACTCCATGCCACTGTCCGCAATGGGTGAGAGGAGGTACCCAGTTGTTATAAAATAAAGCTTTTCACAGACATCAGTTAGCAGGGCAGGAAGGCCTCCTTTTAGTCCTGGTTCCTGGGTTTTGATAAAAATAGGTGTGTTCCTGTCCCCTCCACCACCTTCTTATTATCGAAGTTTTAAACACAGAAATACAGAAAGAACTGTGCAGCGAACCACATCCTTACTGCCTAGATAACATAATGAACAATTTGCTATCTGTTCTGTTGCATATCTATCAATCATGAATCTGATTTGTAGATACATTTTGAAGTTGCAGGCATCAGTACCGGCCCCGAAATACTCCAGCCTGCAGGTTACGTTCATTGTGTACTTATAGTTTTTGTTTCTCCTGCGGGAGGTGACATTTTATCTGTGAAATGAACACATCTGAAGTGTGCCACCTGATGAGCTTTAGCCAGTGCATGATCCTGCACAACCCCCACCCTTACCAAGGCATAGAATAGCCCCACCGCTCGCACTGCTTTTCGGTCCACCCCCACCTGCACCGAGGTGGCATCATCTGGTGTGTCCTCTCCTCCCTAGATCCGTTCACATGGCATGATGAGCTCGAGATTCTTGCGTTGAAGTGTGTCCATGGTTTCTGTTGACAGCTGAATGGAGACCTACCCCATCAAGGGGACATACCCCGTCAGCACGGGGACACCCAGGTTGTTTCTGGTTTTGTTATAAGCAGAGCTGTAGTGAACGTTGCCTACGGGCCTTTCTGTGGGCAGGCTAGTCACTTCTCCAGGAGCTTTGCTGGCTCATGCTGCAAACATGGAGCATAGCTCAGGTTGGTGCCTTCTGCGCTCCCTGGCCATTTGTCTGTCTGCTTACATAAAGTGTCTGTTCAAATCTATTGCTCATTTTTAATTAGAGTGTCAGTCCTTTTATCATCAAATTGTCGTCCTTCCACATATCCCGGACACCAGCGCTCTGTCAAATGGTGCTCTGAAAATATTTCTTCCCAGTCTGTGTTTTGCCTAGTCCCGTTCTTAATGTTTTGTGATAAACATTTTAAACATTCATGAGGTCTGATCCTTTACAGTAAATGGTCATTTTATTCTGTGTCTTGGCGAAAAAAACCTCATGTTTTGACTGCACATGAGTTCTAGGAGAGCCAAAGTCCTTGGAGTCGAGCCACACACGAGTTTGTGCGCACACAGAGGCGCTTAAGGCCTGCAGGTTTAGACTTCTGAAGGAGTCTAGGTGCTCTGGGCTCTGAGAGCCTCACCAATGCTCACATTAACTGTGCATGCAGAAGGTGAGAGCCTGCAAGGCCTGGCATGGCAGAGAACTCCGAAGGGGCTGTGAGCAGAAGGAAGATTCCGCAGGGCACACAAGATGGAAGACACAAAGCAGGAAGGCCTCCCTGAACTCCCCTAATCTTAGAAAGTTTCACTTTTTAAAAACTTTATTTGTAGAGAGAGGAGGAGGGAGGGAGAAAGAGCGAGAGAAACATCCACTGGTTGCAGGCCTCCAACAGAGGGAACCTGGACTGCAACCCAGGCATGTACCCTGACTGGGAATCGAACTTTCAGTTCACAGACTAGCACTCAATCCACTGAGCCACACCAGCCAGGGTATGAACGTCCCATACCTTAGGCTAAAAACCCAGAAAGCCCACACGTGAGGCAACTCCAGCCCTTAAGTAATGTCTACTCTCAACCTGCCCTAATAAAGCCAAAATCAGTTCATGATGGAGTCAAGGTAAGTCATCAGCACAAACCTCAACCTAGATTTGAAAGTCTGTGACATATGGCAGCACCCACAATGTCCTACATACAATAAAACATCACTATACATGTGAACAGTGAGGAAAAGAGGGCTGTAACAAGAAAAAACAAAGTCAAAGGCACCACATATGTGGGTGTTTATAACAGCTACAAGTATGTTCAAGGATTTAAAGAAAAAGATGGGCAAAATGTACATGCAGATAGAAGATCTCGAGAGAAATACGGGAGTCAGATGGAAGTGAAAAATACTGCATATGAAGTGAAAAATTCACTGGATGGCTCCAACAACAGATTGGACACTACGCTGCAGAGAAAAGAAGGGTGAACTTACAGCAGGGCAATAAAAACTGTCTAGACTGAAGCAAAGAGAAAAAAGCCAGAAGACTATGGAGAAGGGCTTGAGGAACTGTGGGAGAGCATCAAACACTCCTAACACATGTATAATTGGAGTCTGAGAATGAGAACACAGTAAGCTAAGGCAGAAAAAAATCTGAAGAAATAACGATCAAAGTTTTTCCAAATTTAATGAAAAAATGTCACTATACAGATTCAAGAAGTCCAATGAACTCCAAGGGTAATAAACACAAAGAAAACCACACCTAAACAACGCAGAATCAAAATGTGAAACCAAAGAAAATCTTCAAAACAAAGAAAAAAGCGACATTAGGTATAGGGTATACCCTATACGCTATTCCCTATTAGGTACAGCGACAGTGCTCAACATTAGTCACCAAGGAAATGCAAATAAAATCCAGAGACACCGCTTTATACCCACTACAAGAAAAAGCCTGACAAGCCCCAAATGTTGGTTAGGATGTGGGATACCCAGAACTCCCACATGCTGTCTACAGATTAAAGTGTACAACCACTCTGAACATCCATCTGGCACACTTCCTTTGTGACCCAATTCTTTAACAATCACTTGTTACACAAGATTATGGGAAGGACGCTCAGGGCAGCTTTATTCACAACAGCCAAAATCTGGGCACAGCCGAATATCCCTGAGCAGAACAGATGGACAAAATGGAGTGCAGTCATAGAAATGGACAGAGTAACAACGAGCAACTCGCTACTGACGCACACGACACCATGGATATTCTCAGAAACATGCTGAGCAAAGGAAGCCAGGCACAAAGAACACATACCTCAATTTTCAAAAAAATGTTTCAAGCCAAAATCTGCTATGCCCCACAACTGCCAACACATGTCTGTGCTGACCTGGATTGCTTAGGCTGCTGCTCCCAAAGCCCAAGAGCAGGACCCATGATGCTGAGTCCCCAGAGTTACATAGGGCACCCTTCCCTCAGCTGCAGACCAAAAGGAGGCCCAGGGACATGTGTGTGCATTCTCATCTTTGTACATGTGGGAGCCCACATGCACACGCACATGAACACCCTAACAGGGAAGGGGGGATAGCTCCATCCAGGGGAAGCTGAAGAGTTGGCTGCCATGCTGCTTGGGCCCTGATCTGGAGGCCAGGCTGGGTGTGTGGAGCCACATGTTCTGAGGAGCTGCCTATCTCTCCTTCTCCCACTGGTCTCAGTTACTGATAGGATGGCCAAGTGCCCACTCTGCGTGCCCCTCCCATCAGTGGAGTGTTGGGCCCCAGCCCGAAAGTACATAGGCTCAGAAACCCCAAACACAGGGCCACTCACAGCTCCTGACAGGCACATGCTGAGCAGGAGCTGAGCTTGTAATTGCTCCAGTTTAAACGCTGGGGGCTTCTATGTCAGCCCTCTCATGAGTGCGCGCAGATCCCCCAACAGAGCTGTTCCTCAGACACACGGGGCAAGGCCAGGCGTCTACCCTTCTTACCCAACCTCCTCCTTGAGGAACAAACTCATACACACTTACCTGTGTCTTGGTTGCAACAATTAGGGAGGCCACCTGCGAGTGGCTGTGACCCCGCTGGCCAGCACCCCCCCATCCCCTGAATGCAAATGAGCGGGGCTCACCTAGCCGGAGCTCCCCGAAGTTGCCACAGCCTATCTTCTTCCCGACCCGGAAGTTGGGGCCCACCATCAGGACCCCAGAACTGGTCCCCGTGCTCCGGACGCTGTGGCTGGTCCGGCCGCCAGCCTTGGACATTCTCCGGCCCTCCTCCGACTCCCCTTTCCCTCCTTTCTTGTCAAAATCCATAAGTTTGTGGTACCCTGGCCTCTCCACGGTGACTCTGCTGCTGTACAAATCCTGGGTCTGTGGAGACCTGAGGTCACAGGTGGCTCTTCGGGGCTAGAACACCATGGCGCCTGGTGGACTCCTAGCTAGTGAGACGTGGGTGCTCGCAAGGGCCAGGCTGCGGCACTCATCTCGGTGGCCTCAGGGTCGCACGCAGGGAGAGGACACATTCTGCTGACAGGTCCCGCTGCCTCAAATCTCGTGGCTCCCAGCTAGGGAGAAAACAGAGACACAGGTTAGAAGACTGAAACCCACCCACCCACCCATAGTCAGTCCAGGATCCAGAGCATAGCCCAAGGAAGCTGGTACAGCAGGATGGCATTCTGGAAAGATCTCTGAAGGCAAAAGTGTAACTTGTGACTTTCAGGGGAGTAGGGGCAGAGGCCACCATGAATGCCACATGTCAAAGAGGTATAAGATGCTCACTGTTGTGTGCTGGCCCACAACAGAGCTTGAGAACAACTGCACTGTGAAGGGTGAGAGCCAATCAACTGACAGAAGCCCCAGAACCAGGAGGAACCTGGATGCAGAAAGAGGCAGGAGCCAGCCGGCACAAAGCTCCTCCCCTCAAGCCAAAGGGTCGTTCCCAGGAAGAAGGAAGAGGCAGAACACAGAGCACCCTTCCTCCCCCTACTGACTGAGGGCCTGGCCAGCTGCAGATGCGAGCAGCAGTAACTTGGACACAGTGACACCATGAGGCCTTGGAGGTGAGAACCCCAGGGGTATCTCAACCCACGATATGGGCCTCCCTCACCCTGAAGCAGGAACGAAGCCCTGGGAATGACCAAAGGGGACAGAAGTGGGGGACCTCTGAGAACCAGGTCAAGGACAGAGCCTGCTGTTAGCCTTTGACTCTGGTTCTGGAAACGGCTATCCCCAAGTCTGAGAGACAGAAGAGGCAGGTACTCCATAGAGGGGAATTCCAGCCATGTGCTCACGGAGAGGCGGGACCACAAGACAGCAGGGATCCAGAGGTGCAGTGCACACATACACCTTCCTGTGCTCTCACACACGTGCACGCCCCTTCCTGTGCTGACACACCCACATACATACACACCCTTCCCCACGTTCACACATGTGCACACCTCACATATGTCCACCCCCTCCCAAGCTTGGCAGTCCTCTCCAGAGGGGTTGTATGCATAAGTAGGCACCAGGAGGTGCCTGACCTGCATGTGACCCTTGAGCCTGAGCACAGCCAACATGGAGAAGGGATGTGGCCCTGCAAAAAAATGGAGGCTCCACACACGTCGGACCTGGCCCCCTGCATGCCGTGGTGGGGAGACAGCAGCCAGCTAGGACGGAAGACTCTGGCATACTTGCCCCCCCACCTGGGCTTACAGCATGACCCCAAAGACCCCTACTGCAGTGTGTCTGGGCCCCACGCAGCCCCCTTACACAGGGCAGGTGTGCAGTCACCGGGAGGCAGGTAAAGGGCCCGACTCCTCCCGAAGGACACCAGCCCCTGCTCACCCCACAAACAGGAGCTGCCACCCCAAGCCTGTGGAAGGCACTGCCCCACCACCCACCAGCCACATGGGGGCATTCTGGGTTCTTTCCCTGCTGCTCTGAGCTAGGTGGGACCTGCAGGGAGACAGCAAGAACGAGTCATGCACCGGACTGTGGGGACTGCAAGGAAGAAAGCCTAAGTAGCCCTAGGACCAGAGCTGAATGCCCAGTCCAGCACACCTGGGGGGAAGCAGGTGGCCTAAGGCCTAAGGGGAATGGAGTGTCTGACCTCAGTCCAGGCCCGGAAGCTACAAGTAATTATCCTGGAGGAGGGGACTTCCTCATTTAGCCTCAACCACACCAGCATGGCCCTCCCTTGTACCCCCCCAGCCTCTCCCATAGGGTAGGCCCTCCAGGGGCGGGGGCTCCACAGCCAAGTTCAACTTTGCGCTGAAATGAGCCCCAGAAGGCCCCTGGAAGCTGCTCTCCCACCCATGTCCACACTGAGATGGTCTCACAGAATGCTCCACTTCAGGGCCCTGTTCCTCCTTCAGTGCGCACCTCAGGAGAGTTACCTGCCCTGTTCTTTTTGGGGTCCACCATCTTGTCAGGGCCACGGGCTGGCTCCCCTGCAGGGGCCCCAGGAACCCCTTTCTCTGACCATCTCCAGTCAGTGATGTCATAGTCCCTGGCTGACATCACCAGCACAGCCACAGGGCAAGTCTGAGGAAGATGCCGGCAGCCTCCTTCCCCAGGGGACCCCAGTGTGAGTACAGCCTCGGAAGCACCTGGACTCAGGCGGTCCTGGCTACAGCCCCTTCTAGGCAACTCTGGACACGTGTCCCCCTACAGTGGGAGCCCACCTCTGCCTGGAGACTTGGTGACATGTAGAGGCAGGACCTCTTCCCCAGGATTCATCCAGGTCCAGGAACTCAGCACCCCAGGAGTCATGATGATGAACACCCAGTGCGCGCCACATCCTGGCGTCTGCTCACTGCTCCCCCAGAGGGACTTGGATGGGGGAGACATGCCCACCCTGGGGCTATGCAACATCATGTCATGAAGTGGCCCATGATGACCCTGTCCCCAGAGGATGGCTGCCCAACCTCTGGGGACAAGGTCAGTGTCGAAAAGGATTAAGCAGAAATGGGCCTTAATGCACCAAGTTATAGACCAAGGGAGAGGAAACGGCCAGACTCGGGGGGGGCGGGGGGGGGGGGCGGCGGGAGTAGTGCCATCAGCAGGAAGCACAGACATGGGACTAAGCAAGGCAAGCAGGTGGCCTGAGGTCACGTATCAGTGATCCAGGGTGTGCACACCCAGAGGGCTTGCAGAGTTCCTGTCTGAGGTCCTCACCAGACTGGGTGGAGGAAAGGAGGCAGGCTTGTGAGAAGGGACAGTTGTCACCACGCCCATCATGGAAAGGTGGACTAGACGCGTCAATGCTCTTGGGAGAGGGCAGGAAAGTCACAGGCGATGGTCACGAGGTGGCATGATGCTCTCACACAGTTCAGGAAAATCAAGCACAGCCACAGCTACTACAAACTCTGCAACCTCAGACCATGGCAACCAAAAACGAAGCACAACAGTTCGGGTCGTAAAAGTGCATCTCCCAGACAGGTGCAGACACGGGAGTGCCCTTGGCACGCAGCAGCTCTGGAACTGGCTGGCACTGACTGCAGGCACCAGCTGTAACTAATAACGGGTTCCACAGAGAACCTGCTGCAATGCTGCAGAGAACACCGGAGGGGACTGAGTTAACTGAACAAATGTTGGCAACTCAGGCCAGGTCATGAGCCCATGGACAGGAGGTGTGGGGAGCACCATGCTCTCCCACATTTGGACACATCTGAAAATTTCCTCCTACAGAGCCGAAAGGAATACGAGGCGGGCTGGGAGACAGCAAGCAGGGAAACCAGGCTCCTCTCCTGGGGCGTGGTACCTGATGTCAGGCACTGGTGCTGCCACCTGGGGCTGGTGCGCACTGTCCTGGACGGAGCATGTCTGGCACATTCCATTATCTCAGGGTGTGCTCCTGACAGGCCCCACAGACACCTGGTCAGCCCTCATCACAACTTACACTGAGCTAACTGTCTCTCAAGGGGCAGGGATGTCCTTGTGATGGTCCCTGGTAAGGCCAGACCCATCCTGGGCATTTCTGCTACCTGTTCCAGCTACAGTTCCAGCACAGTATCAGTCCTCTGCGTAGACAGAGATGTGTCCTCAACAAGATAGTTCCTAACCCCTGGTGTCTGGGCACACAACCTTATTTACAAATGTGGGTGGGTCCTAATCTGTGACAAGTGTCCTTATCAGAAGAGGAAACAAAGACGCAAGGAAAAGGAAGGCCATGTGACAATGGAGGCAGAGACTGAAGAGATGGGACCAAAAGCCAAGGAACTCTGGCAACCACTAGAAGCTGGAAGAGGCAGAAGGACACGGCCTCCCTCCCAACCCTCCTGGAACCTCAGGAGAGAGTGCGATCCTTTGACAGCTTGATCTTGAACTTCTGCCCTCAAAGGACTTCTCAGTGGAGATGCCTGACCAGCACCCCACCAGGAAGATAAGAGTCAGTCAGGGTCAGCAGTGAGGAGCTGTGAGGACAGCAGGGACCGAGGTGACATATGGGCAGGGCATGCCCTTCAGTGTGATGGAGAAAAGACCAGAAAATGTAAACTGGGGATGTCCCACAGGACATAACAGTCCAGGACATCCACACAGGAAAGTGGGAAAACCATCTCAGCCAGAGGGGCCTGAGAGATGTGAGAACTGAGAGTCATGTGTGATCCTGACGGGGTCCTGGGGCAGACAGAGACAGGCTGTCAGGGAAAACTGAGGAGAAATCCAAGTAAATATGGACTTTACTTATTAATGACATCTCAGTCCTGGCTCATCAGCTGTGATGGAGGCACCACACTGACAGAAGGTGTGGGTAGGGCATGGGGACATGACGACCTGCATCCGCTTCACAGTAATTCTGTGAATCTGAAACTGTTCTAAAATACAGTTTATTTTTAAAAACCCAAACCTACAATCTCCTCTGGTGGCCTCCTTCCTGCCCCTCCCTCAAACACAGGCTCATGGTGCCCACTCACAGTCCCTACTCCAATGTCACCTGTGAGGCCACCCCCCTAGCCCACCACACCCCCACCCCTGAACCTTTTAGCCATAGGCAGCACATATGCGGTCACTGTGCGCGTGCGCCCTAACCATGAGCCCCTCAAGGACACAGAGGCCTTCCGCGCAGCACCACACAGGAACTCAGACTGAACAAGTGCTGTGAAACAGGCCGGTGGACCCATGAGAAAGCGGGCAAAGCCGCAGAGGAGGTACAGACGGCCTCACAGGCGCCCATCGCTCTGCCTTTCTAGCACAACATGCAGATTAAAGAGATAGAGATGCTCTTACTTCTCTACTGAAGTACCATTCAGTAGCGGTGAGAGTGTGGAGAACGGGAACTTTGACTTTTAAACAGAAACACTGACACTTAGGTACATGGGGCTCTCTATCCAGGCCACACAACTGACAGGAATGGCTGAAGCAGGACCAGTGACTGCCATGTAGATGCAGCCCTGTCCCCACCCTCTGCAGGGTTAGGAAACAACATGTGCACAGAAAGGGAAGTGGCAGATGGTGCAGCCCCACAAAGCTGTTCCTGCAGGTGTGCAAAAGCCCAGGAAGTGGTCCCTGGGGCTGGGGCTCCAAGGGAGTACCCCTCTCTCCACCCTTCCCAGGCCTGAATCCACTTTCCTTCCTCCCAGTG